CTGGGCCTCAGGGTGTGTGGATTGTATACAATTGACAATTGGATACATATAATAATTAATAATACTCATAATAATACCATATCAGACTATATCATATGTTAGTTACATTGTGTTATTATATTAGTAATTAATTAAATCATATCATCATGCATCCCTCTGTAGTCTATGGTCTATAGTCCATAGTCTATGGCTGCGTTAAGCTCAGTTAGCTATATTATGGTTATATTTATATTTATACTGCTACTATATTCCCCACGACAGCCTCGTTCATACAAGGCACGCGTTCCCCGCCAAGTCCGACAGTTGCGCATCGGTGAACTGTTCATAGACGGAACGTCCGAAAGACATGCCTTGTAATCTCAGCAGTTCCACCCCTAGGAGCTTTCTTTGTCGCCGAAATGACCATCCAATCGTCCGCGGCAGAACGATTGGAACGGCGCCAGCAAGCCCCGTGCTATAGCGGTTCGCGCCGTGGTAGGCATCGACGAACTCGATGGGCTTGTGCAGCCGGATGCGTTCGTCATCGGCAAAAGCGACGACCTAAGTTGGCCTAACAGGAAGCGGAGCAATACGAATACAACTAATACTGATTCTGTACCGTAACACTGACTGACTAATAGGGACACCATAATACGAAGTGTATATGGACTACGACTATGACTATGACTATAAGACGACTATAAGACTATAAGTCTATAAGGTTATTACGAGTTATACGAAGTTACAAGTCTACGTGACTATATGACTATGGTGACTCTAATAGTAACATCATAAAGTTACAAATTATAAACTTAACCAGCGGTGATACAGTGACTCCGGAAGATATTGGGATGCCTGGCATATTGTCTATTGCATGCGTGCTATCATGATTTTGTAGATTATTAGGACTTAAGTCTCTCAGACGTGTATACTATAGACTTTAGACCATGACTACATGGGCTAGGCATAGCTCCATTAGCTCGTGAGAAACCCAAAACCATTGTGTAGCATTATGCAACGTACGAGTCTATATATTATGGAATTATGTACATTATGTAAGTATGTTCTAGGAATAAGTTAATAAGTAGTAATGATGCAACTGTGTAATAGACTATGTGACTATGTGTGCTTATGCCACATGCCATCATGCATCGTGTGATATGGAGTCATAATTCATAATACAATCTAATTATAGTCATTATGGTTATAGTCAGTTATAGTTATAGTATTAATATTGTGCAGAGTAGAATTAATAACCTACAATCATATAATTTATATAATGTTATTATAAATGTAAATATTATAAATACTAATACAAATATAAATAATATATAATATATGGACCTTAGATGGACCATACGGGGACCATACGGTATACCTGGTATGATACAATGCAATGTAACTTAGCTGTAACGGCTATAGGCTATAACTTACTTAGACTATGACTATAACTAAACAGACTATGAGCATGGCCATGGCTGCAACTAGAAATTATAAATTATACTGAAATTATACTACATCTCAGTATCGTGAGATATATATCAGCCGTGTGGATGTGCTCTAGAAAACGAATGCAGGAACGCATGCGCTGTGTCAAGTCCGGGATAGATGCAAGCGAAATCAGGCACGTGGCATCCTGCACGCGCGGGTTCAGGAGAGCGAACCACCGCGAACCGCTGAGGTCCGGATGCACCTTCAGGGGCCACGAGATCCCGCCTCAGAGTGGCCAAGTGTGAGAGAAGGGGTCCAAATAGATCATGGATCAGGAACACTAGGTCATGGACCCGTCGCCACCGAAGAATCTGTGAACCCGGAATCCGGAAATACCATGACCCACGTAACACAACTTTTGGATTACTGCGACTATGATAATGATAATTATGACTAAATTATGACGATGACTATGACCACGACTGTGACTACTGCTATTACTGTTACTTCTTATAACTTATTACTAATTACTACTAATTACTAACTTGTTACGCGTAATCATCTGCCACTTACTACTGAGTATAATCTGTGCGAGGGCACGTTTCTCTGCCACCGACATGTGTAGGCTCTGCCAGGACGTTGTCGAGGATTCGGCGCGGTCTGCCTGATCTGCTCTCTCCTTTTCGAGGTCCTCCAGCTCACCCATCACGGCATCGTCATCGTCTGACAATAAGAACCGATCCTGAGCGTAGTGTGAGTAGTCCAAGGTTATCTTAACATTCAGAGATTAAGAAATGTTAGAAAGTTAATAGTTATATTATATAAGTTATATTCATAGTCAGAGTCATGGTCCATAGTTTAAGTTATAGTATTACGCTTCCGTACGTTTACAGTCTACTACAATATCTGTGTATAGTTTATATCAATTATTGAATTATTCGATATTTGTAATTATAATTTATAATTTATAATAATATAATATAATACTTATATAAAATTATAGCAATTGACAATTGAATTAAACAAAGTGATTGTGTGTGAGATAAACAAAATAATTGTGTGTGAGGTATAATGTAACAACATGTCTAGTTATACAGATACATTTCGAAGGGTTTAAATGAGTGCGAGGCTGCGTGATCTGAGTAAATTATAAGTACTATTGACGAGTCGTCGTGCTATTCATGTTACATGTTCGGTTGATGAGTCATGGATGAGTGTATGCTGGCATGATATAACATGCGTGCAGCGCACATGAATGACTGAGTGCACGAGTGATGGAGTGATGTGACAGTCATTGAGTCATGATTCATGATACAATAACACCTGTCTATGTGTCACAGGTGGCACAAACTGTGTCAGGTACTAACAAATCATACAGCGTTGTAAAGATGTAGCCGGTACGGTACGGTACAGTCATAAGTTTGAAGTATAAGTCAGACGGTAGAAGTTGTGAGGTATGAATGCATGAGTCATGACTCAGTACAATTATAATCGACTATAATATGATTTAAGTAACTACTAGAGTAATGGACTGTACGCATATCATATCGAATCATGGCATTCGTGTAATTCATGCGACGTGTTTGTAGACAATGCATATTGTTACATTACGTACTTAGAACATTATAAAGTCTAAAACATGTAACATAATATAATTTATGGTTTTACTTTAAAACATGCATCAAACAAGTATTAAATAACTATTACAATTCATATTAGTCTATCATTATAAAATTACAAAAGTTATAAGTTATAAACTAATAAATTATTAGCTATAAGTCAGTATAAATTGAATATAATATAACTTAATATAACTTCCTCCAGGCCGCAACTGGCGGTGGATCGAATCGCATCGCTGCCATCATCACCTTCACATCGTCGAAGAACTTCTTAGGGCTCCCGGCCATACTCGGGTTGCTCGTGTTCCAGCAGAGGATGTAGATCCGGCGTCTGTTCTGTGGCAACCCATATGTCTTGGCATCTATCAAGAATGTCTCCACCGCGTAGCCACGCGACGTGATTGCTGCCAAGCATAGGTCAAGGTTGGTGGCTTTGGACCTGCGTATGCTGCAAGGCTGCACAACCAATAAGATATCACCGGTATTGTATGCGTGTCGTATTTTGCATACGAACCAAACAGCCATAGAACTCCTGCATTCAGGAATACACGTGACCATGGGCTCACGACGTAAGTTTCGGTATGAGTCACACACTTTATGAGTTTACCCTACACGCATAGTATGAGTAAGTATGAGCTAGGCTACTCTACACCGCGGCTCAACGTGGTTTGAACAAACACGTCGCTCACCGCACGTAGTGCGGCTCTGGCGCGGATCATCGTCGGGGGCCCTGTCAATGCTCTCGACATTCTCAAACATGGCGAAGTATGGCCTGGTTTCATCAAGCACGTCCAGGCACCCGTGGAATGTGGTCACACTGGCCACTCGCTCGCGCGGATCCTTGCACTGGAAATTGGACTAGGCTGAAGCCACAACTTAATATATGATTATTTACTAATTTATTATTAATTATCATCA